GCCGACACTGAAAAATGGCCCGACAAAAACGGAAACAAGGCACCTGAGTCAGAGTGCAGCCGGGCAGCCAGGCGTGCTTTCGCACTTCATCGTCTGTTGCGACAAGTTACTAACGGTGGAGTTTATAATTCACAATGCATGCCTTCCATATTCCATAAGCGAAAAGCACATTCATGTTTTCACATCTGTGGTGCAATATGAACATTACATTGTGATCTATGCATGCTGCAGCCGGACTTTTACCCTATGACATATTCAGCTAAAGACTCATCACAGCAATCAGCACCGTGCGCGTCACTGACCCAGACGGAAACCAATCCCGGATACCTGACCCATGAACGGAGCATTATCCCAGCATGCCACATCAAATCGAGACTCTCATCAAATCAAAGGTGAAACCCATTACCGAGGTGCAACAATACAGAACACATTTGGGAGGTCAATGAACTTTGAATTTCTACATAGCTAGCGTGGGAGTGCAGGCGCCGGACATATATTAAAGCACTGCAGGGAGGATTGATGCAATCGCGGCTCTCATGTGGGCGGTCTTTGAACGATACGAACTATAGTTCGTATGTGCGAATATATTCGCACTCCTGAATGCGGTGCGACATGCAACAGGTTCCATACGGCGCACGCGTGCCATTTCCCTAAGAGCACCACCGTCATTCCCTATGCAAGGTGTGTGCCGCCGGGACCATCTGGAACAAATGACGCCACCTGGCTATCCAGTATGCATCGATCCTTGTTGTCGATGCGCGCCATCGGGACGTTTTCCGGTCAAGGCTGGCGGGCCGCGGACAGACGGGCGGGCCAGGGGTCGATAGAGCAGGCGGGCTACATCAGTGTGCGCCTGTGGTGGTGTACAGAGACACACACAGAGAGAGAGAGAGAGAGAGAGAGAGAGAGAGAGAGAGAGAGAGAGAGAGAGAGAGAGAGAGAGAGAGAGAGAGAGAGAGAGAGAGAGAGAGAGAGGAGGTGTAGGATCCGTTTGGCAGTGCGGTGTAACACTGCATTCATCAGTGCCCGGGTATCCGGCGATAATGCAATGGAATGCAAACAATGCAAACAGGCACAGCCCTATTGATTAATGGCTTGTATTCCAAATGCTGTTTCATTAAGAATGCATTGGTATCCGGCAGGCGTTGAATAGCGACTCGTAAGACATGCAAAATCGCATATCAATGGAGGAATAACGCAAAAGCTGCGCATTATCTTAACCCATGAATGTGTTGCCGCGGCAATTACTAGCTAGCAAACTAATTTTAAAACACCAAACAACAAAAGCTTTTACCTAAACATCAGCCATCAAACGTTTATCAAGCTAATCTTTATGGCATGTTCTATCTCAACTATATATGTTTTGTAAATATTTTTCATAACATAGCCACGCTCTTATGTGTGTTAGACAAAAGTAAACACATTGTAAAACATCGTTTTATGACCACATTCAGAAGCAAACAATAACCACAAAACCATACATTTCCGGAGCGCACTTAGTCTTCTTTGAAGCTCTGATATTTGACAGGGTTCCAGACTGGGCACGTCTGACGTCAGCAGATATCGTTTGACGCACGTCTTCGGCATATATCGTTCGTGGATCAGTCTGAAATTGTCGCTCAATGTCAGACCGACGACCGGACCGGGCCGAACGTCAATGACGTCATAAAACCGCCGTCAGTGACGTTATAAAAATGGAGCCTGGTGAATGGCTGGGATGATGCACTGACAGCACAACAGTGTAATGTAGCGGTATAAGTCGACTCAGGAGAAAGGCCTTTTATCGGTCGCTCATATACTGTTAGCAGTAATCTCTGTTCTAGGATAAATTAATATCGCGTCTTTCAGTGCTAGAAGACAAATGACAACACTGACATCTTGCTTTCTTGTGTTGCAGCTGCCGAAAAAGACGGCGAAGAAGTCGAAGCGGTTCGTCTCGGACCAGTTCACCCGGGAACTGGAGGACCTGAGGACGGTGAAGACGTAAGGGCTGACGTCCAGAAGATGTCAAAGGCGTCGGCGCTCAACACCGGCCGATGGAATTTTCAGCCACGGTGAAACGCGCAACAAAGCAGCGTGGCGGTGCCATAAGAGGAATCAATCCTTGGAACGCGACAGCCAGCAAAAAGCCTCCCCGAAGACCTAAGAAAGACGCAGATGAAAGACTTCGCTGACTGCGTTATTAGTAGCAGGTCGCTTTTGCTGGAGCCAGTCCCACTGTTTATCCCGCGCGTGTGCACCTCTGAAGCAGAGCTTCCCTGTTGGTCAGCACATTCGAGAGCTCGAGTAGGAGCTACGTAGCCAAATGTGGCTGGACTATACATAATCGACCTCTGGCGCAGCGCACCAGCTGGTGTCGGGGGTTTAGCGCGGCCTGACCTGCACTTGTTTGTTCTCGAGCGGCGGTGATCCCGCGCGGAGCATGTGATATGAGTGACATAAGCAGTGTATTTTTGTAATCCTGTGACTTCCACACTTTGACAACCTCAGATTATTTATATTTTTGGCTTGCTGAGGCACCTACCTATCTTTAATAGCGTGGCTGGAGCTACTTGCTTTCAGAAGATTTTAGTAGTCAAGTGGGATGTATTTGTGTTATTATCATTAGATGACTCTGTTTTCCAGCTAGCCGATGAAACAGGTCGGTGTTTGTACCTGAATATCATAGCAGATTCTCTCTCTCTCTCTGCTACGCGTATTGTTGAGAAATGCCAAGAATGGATGCTAGTCTAAGAAAGAGGGGTTTTAATTGTGATGTAATCACTACTAAATCTTTGTGTAGGTCAAGTCTGAGGAGAGAGACTAGGAGACAAGCCGCCGTCACTACATTATTTCCATTTTCCTGACAACTCTTGAACCGATTATTTCTGTTGTTATAGTGTATGCGTCCAGAACCTCAGACCAAAGAAGCGTCATGCTGGACGTTCCCCGGTGTCGAGTGCCGCCTTATATGATCACGTATAGAGGTGGACCTCTGGTGACTGGTTTACTGTGTGTGCGTACGTATGTACAGCGTACCGTATTTAGTGTCGTGTGTTGTGTGGGCTGATCACACGAATGGATCACGCTTTTGTTCCGTCTAGTTAAAGGCCGTGTAAAGGGCGCTTACATTGTTTCCGCAGGTTAAACTTTTGACTTGCGTATGATCCATATATGTATACGATGATACTATACTCGTACCTATACATGTATACTTTACTTCGCCCGGATCTGACAAAACGTCAATGCGTAAATGACAAGCAAACATCTCGTATATTTTGAAGTGTATGAAATATATTATGATGCACAGCTTGTTTTTTCTGCAGCAGTAAACAAAGCTTCAAGACTTCTGCGAGTTCGTTTCGATTGCACCACAAACATGCTCGCACAGTGTAACCCACATGTCGACTATGCCCGTTAATCATCAAAAGCAGCATTTAAAAGGCTAAACTAACGAGAACATTGTAGTTTTAAGTTCGAAGTAGCACCATTTTTATTCATTCTATCACATCTTTCACAAGCGCAGAGCAATAGCAAAAGATTGTTTAGTATAGCAATTCCTTCTGTTATGAGTTCAGGCGCGTAACAATGCCAGTCTAAGTTTGTAAGTGCATGACTACTTAGTTTTGAAATACCTGTGGGAGTGTCGCGCCCAGCTCGGAAGCTCAGCTGACGTCTAGAGACCCGGTCACCGTGCGAGATAGGTCACCAACCGAGCGGAGAGGAGGGCGAGCGAGGGTGATCACTGAGGGGTAAAACCGAGCGGGGGGGGGGCAGGAGGGACAGTCACTGAGCCAGGTGGCAGTCACCGAACTGGGGAGGGGTTACCGAGCGAGGGGGGGGGGGAATATTACGGACGGGAAGTTACGGACGGGTGGGCGATCCGTGCAGCTAGCCGATAATTATCGACATGAGACCGCATGCTGCAGACATTATATTTTAGTCTCTTATCAAACTTGTAAAAACTTTATTTTCTTTAAGCGCTAAAGACGGCTCTTAATCAAGACTGACTCGGACTGATGGCGAGTGATGATTCGGAATATAAATTGGACTTACGTGCTCAAAAGAAGCGATACAAGGCTTCAACATGCATCCGATGCATAATGCACATCATATTGCCAATATTATCGTTTATATAGCTATTTTATCATAACAGCATGAAAATACATTCTAGGTTCCATTTCAGCCTAAACTTTTTACTGTTAAAATAATTTATGAGAATAATGATGCATAATTAATTACAGTAATCAAACCGTAATTTTGTGCCAACCTGAACAATGAAAGAAGAGCCAGAAAACACATATGGGTGTAAATATTTGCTGTCCCTTTTTGAAGGTCTAAAACAAATGTAATAAAGCTCGGACCTCGACTGTGGAATTTGATAAAAAGTGAAGCAAGCATTGCTGTTAAAGAGAAGACAACTTTGTTATAGTAAATTGTCGTAAATGTAGGTAATTCGCCGTCTAGAGGCTCGTCTTTTGAAATATTGTGTAGGCCTTTCTCCTTACACTATTTTGTGGGTAGATATGTACTTACTCAAATATCATTCAATTGCACCCTCAAGTTCCGATATACGCAATGATATGGAACGTAGTGTAGGGTTTCCGGTATCAATTATCAAACTTCTATACCGGATGCATGCAACACATATCAAATGTCTATTTTGTTTGCAAAGCAATTAGTAGTGCACAAATTGCAGCTAATGCTGCTTATTAGTAGGTACCTATCTATATCCCTTATATCTCAGTGGTTCCTTAATGATCACGTGAGCTCTCAGCTCACGTGAATTGTTCTCTGATTTTCTTTTACCTTATCAATTTGCTGACTCGGACAATATCATAAATGCACAGCAGCTGGAGCCTAAGGATGCCCGCGCTGCCAAATGTATCCCTCATATATCTCACGGTCCGCCCCAGAACCAGCTGGCAGCGCTGTGCAGCATATGGCAGCGCTGCGGAGCGAATCGATGAGCTGCTGGTGGCGCCACGATTGGGGGCGGCGTTGGCTGAGTGGAGGCGGCGTGGTGCGGCGCGGCGGCGACGTGGTGCGGCGCGGAGCTGATATCCCATGGGGTACAGAGTCACCTGGTGGTAAAGGTGAGTAGTTACTGAGTGATAAAGTGACCCTGATTGGTGACCTCACTGCATCCCCACCTCTACCCCCGTCTTGCTGCTTTGGCTTGCAACGGAGTACCCACCTCGGCCAAAACACGGTCCAACTGGTGTTGGCACTTGTTGCGCAGAACAGAACTGATGTGCTGTTGCAATGCGTTCTTACGTTACAGCCTACATATATGCAGCCAGCGCATAAACAAATGTGTGAAAATGTTAGCGACAGCTTATTCATGAACCGAATCTGATACCACTCTCTACGTAATATTCAATAAAAATCCGTCTTGCAGGGCCAGTTGTATGAACATTTTTTGTTAAAAGCTGATTTAATGATAGCACACATTAAATTATTCAACTTTCCAGTATCTAGACGCCAAACCTTTAAACTGTTGAGTGACACTCCGAAGTTCATTTTCAACTTAATCAATGAATCATGATTGGATCGATGTTCTCAATGCATGCTCCCATCGCACAAAATATGACCGTTTGACGTTTGACCGGTGCTCTGGCTCTACAGCAGGCAACATGATCTCCCGATGTCTGGTAACCCTGCTCTGTCTGCTGACGTCACGGGTCAGTGGAGAGCGATCCGCCTCCGTCCGGAGCGCTGGCGATGCTGGAGAACTGATAGAAGACCTCGACTACGGCAGTCTGCCCGACGGCATCACTTCGGACACCGTAGTCGTCACCTACTTCTACGACTCGGGTAGGAAAATAAATCACGCTTGGACGGACTTAATTTATCAAAATTAATGACCGTATAAACTTATTATATCAGATGATTTTACACTTCCCGTAGTAAGAATCAAAACGGATTTTAAAATGGTAATACACTTTCCGTAGCGCAGATAACGATAATGCGAAGTTTTGCGAGCAAAGTTTAAGTTGTTCTTAGGAAAGTAAAGTGTTCAAAAGTCAAAACCCACGCAAATAAATGTAAATCCTTAAGGAAAGATTTGACGTTCGCACGGCTGAACGATTTCACGAGGAACGATCTCGTCCCCACCTACAGAGCACCACTCTGCTGATACGGGACACCAGCTGCTGAAAAAGCTCAGCAAGTACTTCAGGCGCAGGCCGGAGGTTGACATCAGACTGTGCAAGGTAAGGGCAGGCGACAGTACTAACGACTAGCTTATTCCCTGTCAAGGAGTGGCTAAATGCGGCCAATTTTGATGTTCTGTTCTTCTAGCAATATGCCTACAGCAGAGCAACAGATCTTCCTTATTTATTAAAGGACTCAGCCTGCAAGGGTAAAGCGGCTTTGTGGCTATTGGAAAAATTATTGACAGTAAAAAGCCTCGGGCTAGACTGGTTAACTCAAGCTTAGCCGTTCTATTCAATAATTACGAAGCATGTCACGATTCAAACATTAAGCTGACAATTATTTCAATTTTGAGTAGTAATTCAGGAAGCGGACGACAGTTCCCTCACTGTTCTCACCTTTCTCAGGTGTCCTGTACCGGCGAGACGGGCCAGTTTTGTCGGCGGCACCTGGTGAACCGAGCCGTGCACGCGTTCCGACAGGGCCACCCGCGTGTGACGCTCTCTCTGACCGGTCCCAGCCCCCTGGACGCCGCCATCGCTACCAGCCTCCAGTAAGGAGACCTCCTCCGCCGTGCTGAAACTCGAGAATCAGTACCGACACTAGCATATCTGGGAGCTTTGGCAGTGGCGGAAATAGCTCTTGAAATGCCACAGCTATAAAAAAAGTAATAACCTTTTGCTTGGATTTACATATGTAGGTTAGCAGCGTGGGGGCGTATTGTAAGATGTTGCCGGCTGCGGTGGTTGGGAGATTACCGGTAACTAGAGAGGTCACTCTGGTTATTTTCCTCGGTAAACCTTATCTCGCTCGTTGTTATCTTAGGAAACAATTAGGTGCGTCTCACGTAGATCCCGATTCCCGAAGGTCGATCCATGACACGAATAGGACCAGCTTTATGGGTGCACCAACCAATCAATTAGGTACTACTTCTTTGGTCGGGCCAGGTAATCATGGGTTTTCTTATTTCCTGCTTGAGCTATTTATAAATGCTGGCATTGTTGAGTTACCTGTCGCCTATAAAGACGATCTATTCCACGTTTTTCAGTGCCTATAATTTGGACTGAAATATTCCGTCACGAATTAAAAAAATATTCGAAGTCAGTTTAACTATTCCGTGGGGCCTTCGGGAATCCCATGATGTTTGCACAGTAAACTCCGAAGCCTCTCTAAGGATTTTAAAGGCGTGTTCACTGCCCAACTGCTGAACTATGCGCTCAGTACTCTCTCTCTCTCTCTCTCTCTCTCTCTCTCTCTCTCTCTCTCTCTCTCTCTCTCTCTCTCTCTCTCTCTCTCTCTCTCTCTCTCCTCTCTCTCTCTCTCTCTCTCTCTCTTTCTCTCTCTCTCTCTCTCTCTCTCTCTCTCTCTCTCTCTCTCTCTCTCTCTCTCTCTCTCTCTCTCTCTCTCTCTCTCTCTCTCTCTCTCCGACCGCTGTCGCTGAGCTCTGATCCTGCCGTCAGTCAGTTACCCGCCAGGTGCCCGCCGTTTCTGACTATTGTGTGTTTGTGTTATTGTGCGTTTCTGATTATTGTTATCGTTTCCACATATATTGTGTGTTCTTTTACACTCGGTTCCGAGTGTACGCCTGAGTACGCGGCACTTTAGCACTGCTCCAAACTAACGCGATCTTCTGCATTTTGTGGTTGAAATGTTCTTACAAGCACTCAATGATGTCTTTTCTCGCAGTCTATGGCTGGCGGAGCGGGTAGCCGTGCTGAACACAGCCCAGGAGCTGGCTGAACTTCAGACCAGATGCCGAGGACGATGCAACATTCTCACCGCTTACTTCCCCTCTCTGGGCGCGTCAGGTGAGTTTGGCGGAACGCGCGTCTGTCCAGATGTGCCGCGATCAACTAATGGGCAACAATATCTGTTCGGAGAGAGATCGTTAGTGGAAGAAAATGTTGGCATCGTTGCAAGGGGATAGCAGAATCACGTGACCTCATTACTACTCAAGAGCAGAAGCTGTAGAATTGACAGGACTACAAAACTGCTATCTCGGATTTTTGAAATTTTTGGATTTTGACCCTCAAAAATCAAAAAATAGAGTTTTTGAATATAATAGCCGAAAAATCAAAAAAAAAATAGAATTTCGCAAAAACCGGAATATATGTGATAGTCCTTACCGCCTTTTATCCACATACCAAATTTGAGATTGATATCTCTTTTTTTGGCGAAGTTATAGCGAAAAAAATCTGTTCAAAATTGATGACGTCAAATTTTGAAGCTCAATTTTTAGCAATTCTAGACCCCATAGCGCAAAAAAAGACCACCATTAGACTCCCCGTGACGAGCTGCATCGAATCAATACCCATTTTATGCAAAACTATCAACTTTAAAATTTGAACTTTCTTGACCTGACCTTGACCTGACCTTCACCAGAAAGTGACCTAAGCCGTACCTGATAGTCTTATAACCAGCACCATTGAGTTGGAAATGAAAAATTGGCCATAAAACATGCATCGCACAACCTTAGTACCTAAAGTTAGGCTCATGTGACCTGACCTGTGACCCTTGGTGACCTGACCTGTGACCTGACCTGGTATCGTCAGTGACCTCTTATAGCAACATATGTACTAGGCAACTGACGCCCTATCGCTGATTCTCGACAAAATGCGTTTTCTTCGGTGTTATAGCGCATTCCCTAGATGACCCGTGAACGGTGAAACATGTCATCTTTGACCTGACCTGTGACGTCATCGGTGACCCCGAGGTCAATGAAATTTGGTTTCTTTCGACAAATTTGACAGGCATTTCAAACGCCGTTTGAATTTTGCGGATCCGTCAAGTAGTTTCGGAGATACGAGGGGGGGGGGCAAAAAATAGCCCCCACCCACCAGGTCGCGTTATAAACAGACCCCACGAGGGCGCGGGTTAAATGGAGGTAAACGCCAGTAAACAGTTTTTTTTTACATTATGTGTTAAAGGTAGTGTGCCACCTTCGAATGATTTCCCATTTTATTTTTCCTAGGATAAGAAGCTTCTGTTTTTACCTAATATCGCAAAAAAATCAAAAATGGGCCTAAAATAGTGCTTTTTTCGCCTAAAAGTTTATCGGTTTTTCGATATGTATAACAACTGTAGTGGGCTGACCTGCAAACAGGCGTCGGCAACAATCACGAATGCGGCGCACATGTGAGTTGTGACAATAAGCAAAGGTCATTATAGAGTTACGACGTACGGGAATGAGTTATCAGCTGTCTAATCGTAGACAACACAATGTCGAAATTAAACTGTAAGCCTGTATTGGTATTGTTTCTTTAATTTGGCTGTCGAACATTAATTTATGGTTTGAAATATTATTTTATGTAAAATAATTGATGTGAAACAGCCGTCTCTAAAGTTATGACCCCATCTCACCACATGAAAGTGGCAGAAATGACAATGATCAGCGGACGCATTTTTCTTGGCCGAAGTCAGAGCGCGGCCCGACGCACCACCACCGCACCACAAAGTATGAGCAGAAGCCGCGCCCAAAGCCAGTGCCCCAGTAACGTGAGGTAGCCGAGTCGGGGCAGCGTGCGCTGACCCAAGCCGGGGCCGCGGCTTTGGGCGCTGTATACCGCATCCCCGCGGGCAGCCCCGGGCTATCACATGACACCGGGAGGACGCGCGTTCATTCAGTGTGTTCATAGTGGTGTGAAATGTGGTTGGGGTACGACCGACAACCCGTCGGGGCGAATTTCGCACTGGGGTACTCAAAATTTGAAGAATTTGAGACGTTTCCATGAGTTTTGAAGGTATGGATAAGTTCTAAAAATCCGGTTCTCCTTATCTGGGCCATAAACTCCATACGGTCCAGGAAAGCTGGCACACTACTTTTAAAGATATTTCTTGTCCTAAATGACTTTAATCTAAAATTATTTCATTCTTGCAGCCTTTGGTTCTGCTTTTGATAAAGTTCATTAACTTCGAGCTGTCCCCTCCACGCTTATATGAGGTGCATCATTTCCTACCGCATTCAGGCCTTCCCAGCCTGCTGGACGTGTCTTAGGCGATATGAGTCGGCTCCTACATTAATAACAATCCGTTATTTTCAATTATTTTATTCATACTAACAATAAACACAGTTTCGCAATAATGAGGGCAAAAACGTCATAAGCCGAATACAGGGAGCGGCAATAAATCTCTGCGTTCTACGGTACAACCGAGATGGTGATATGACACCGGCGGCGGACTCGGCAGTCACCGCCGCCGTCTCCGATGAACGCCGTCTCCGGCCGTCCCCATGACCGGTGCTGCGCAGCCGGCCGAACTAACCCCCGGGCAACTGGTAAGTGGCTCCAAGTGCAGGGTGGTCTGAGAGGCTAGGGCTCTGTTCCGCGGTGGGTCGTCGTCCGGGCGACTACTCCGTCGTGTCCGGGGTCAGAGGTAATGACCTTTGACACTACCGGCTCGCTCGGCCGCGGCTTGTCACGCAGTCCGTCGAGCACCCATTAGCGCGGGAGGGATGACCGCACGGCACGCAGAGAGACATGTAGCGCGTGTCATCGGTCGTTGTGCCCACCACTGCACTACCGCACCGCTCCACAGTGATGCAAATGGGGTTCACGAGTGGCCATAAATACCCAAAAGTCAAGTTTACCAAATCGAGTTAATTGCGATATGGCCGAGTAGACAAATGTTTGGGGCATCTGAAATCACATGGTTTTCATGTTTTTGTCAAAACCGGACTCGTGTATAATCGTTAGAAGTCGTGACATTTTCTAGGTCGTAAAATGACGGTCAGACACTCGCAAGTTCAAACGCCGCTGGTTTGCGTTCATTTCGTACAAATTGAAAAAATTATGCATGGGAATAATCCCCAAAGCTTTGTGCTTCTAATGCCGGGTCACAATAAGCCGTATCTCATTCGCTTTGGCGGTAATCTGACTATTTATCATCATGCTGCAATCGCAGTTTTTAACTAAGAAAAAAATGCTTTCGTTTCACCTACAGCACTTAACACAGTGTGTGCCCGTTAGTCCACCATACCATAGCCTTCCCTAATCGTTTCTGAGTCGCATCGTGAAAGAATAAAGGCGCTAGCACAGGGCTGACCGGCGCTACAGAGGTTTTTGTCCGGGCGGTCGGGTGCCGCAGTGGGCGCGCAGTGGGCGGGTGGGTGCCGCCGCGCGGCGTCCGGGGGGAGCGGCGGCGCGGCCGCCCGGGCTGCCCGCTGCGCCGCGGCACCCGACCGTGCCGGACGAAAACTTCTGTAGCGCCGGTCAGCCCTGCGCTAGCGCCTTAATTCTTTCACGATGCGACTCAGAAATGATTAGGGAATGCTATGATATGGTGCACTAACGGGCACACACTGTGTGAAGTGCTGTACGTGAATTGAAAGCAAATATTTTTTGTAAAAAACTGCGGTTGCAACATGATTACAAATAGTTAGCTCACCGCCAAACCAAAATAGATACGGCTTTTTATGACATGGCATCAGAAGCAGCAGGTTTCGGGGATCATTTTCATGTATAATTTTTGCAGTTTGTATGACATGAACGCACGCTAGCGGCACTTGAATTTCAAGTACCTGACAGTCATTTTACGACATCGAAAATGTCTCGACTCCTGACAATCCTACACGAGGCCGGTTTGACAAAAACATTAAAATCATACTTTTTCAGACACCCCAAACATTTGCCTGACTGACCATATTACGATTTATTCGATTAGGTGAACTTGAATTTTGGGCCTTTTTCGTATTTATGGCCACTCGTGAACCCCATTTGCATCACTGTGCGCTCGCCGCCATGGCGACTGGTCTTCTCGCTCAGCCGTGCCGTTCCGCGCCATAGAGCTGCATGGGTGTTGTAACTTGTAATGATGGTACTCATGGGCCGCTGTCAGCCTCATGGTTTCCAGCTAGTTTCACCCGGGGTATAACCCGACTCCACTCACCTGACTTACCTCGCCTTACCTTTGCTCACCGTCGAGCGGTGTGAGTCCTCACCGAGTCACCGCTGCGGCCCTATCGACCAGGGTCGCCCCCGCCGCCGCCCCCGCTGCCGCCCCCGCTCAGACCTGGCGCAGTCTCGCTGCAGCACTGATCTCCCGGATCAGCCCAGTTGCCGAGCAAAGTTATCAAAACGTAATTCCTTAGAACAACTGAGAGGCGTGTTGTCTAGTCTGACTCTCCTCGGATAGCTGAATCCATGCCTGTCCCGGGGCGGCTCTTGCAGCGTTGTTTTTGCTCCGTGTTTCTTGTAATACTCAGGTCAATTTCTGATTATTGTGATCGTCAGTCAGAGCGCGGGATAGGACAAAAGCTAACTATATGTACTTTTGATCAATGGACGTCAACACACTCGGTGATTGAAGGTTATATCAATTCATTAGAAACACGGTGATGTAGTTTGCGAGACGTCATTAAGAATTAAAATTAGCAAGCTGAATTGTATCCATTCGCTGTTGATAACGCTCCGTTGCTTATTGCTTATATTAGCTATTTTAGGAGCAAAATTGTATTTAACTACTGAAATGCAATTATAAATTATTATTCAGTGCTCAAGCACTATTTGATTTTCATCATTAACCCGGCCGGGCCCGGGGGGTAATCCCAACCACCGCAGCCCGGGGGGGGGGGTTTCGCCCCCCCTGTCTAAGTCCGTAAATAAGGGAGCTACGGAAACAAAAGCGATACCAAACGAAAGGTCCTTACGAGACAATTCTAAAGCACCTAAAATTTTTGACCTCAGGTCAATTTTCAAGGTCAGAGGTCAAGGTCAAAGACAAAAACCGGCACATGTGTAGTGATCTCAAAGTAAGCCTTCTAGAGGACGGCAGGCGGCATTAAACCGGCAAAATTGGGTGTCAAACGAAAGACGAGAATCTGAGGATTCCGAAAATGTGCTCAAAATCAAAGGTCAAGGTCAAGATCACACTCAAAACTGACCTCAAACTTGGCACTTTTTCGCACATCTTGCGTGCTAACTTTCAAGATGTTTTGAGATGTTTTGAGGCTTATCATCTCCCTATTTGTGGTTCCTCTTACGATACAAGGCTGCTCAAAGGTCAAGGTCACTGAAGAGTATCCCTGCTAGAGGCTATTTCACTAATTCAAGTTAGTAATAATAAATAAGACAATTTTGCCATCCGGAAGCTCTAAATGAAGGCTTAGAGGAAAATAGATGCCAGATTCGTGATCAGCGGGTACAAATCCATCATTAACGACTTTTCATGTGTCAAGGTCAACCAGAGGTCATTCGAGGTCACATGAGGTCAACATAAAACTTGACCTTTTCCGAACAAAATATATATCATTCGACGCGGCTTGACAAGGCGAATGCGATGGCACCACTGCCGTAGCTCTAGGACCATTTTTGTCGAAGTTATTTGCGAAAAACTAAAACCACATTTCGGGGTCGTTGACCTGACCTCTGACCTCAGGTCACCAAACTATTTTTCTATTTTTCTCTAGGTCAAACGCTACACAACCGTGCTCGTAATTTGTCTTTATCTCTAAAAGTCTATTTTAGCAGCTATTTGAAGTTTGCGTCTGTGACGCCGAAGTTTGCCGTGCAGGGGTCTAGAAAAATGGACCTTGTGACGTCATCAAGGGGGCTAGGTCCAAATTTTTTACTTCAGAAGATGTCAAATTGATGGGAGAAAAGGTACTGAAAGTTTCGCTTTCCTATCCCTAAGCGTTCGGGAGCTATCGCAAATATTCGCCAGGGGGGGGGGCAAAAAACGCCCCCCGGGCCCGCGAGGGTTAAGTAATTTTTTTGGAAAAGTGGCTGCCGTTGACGATAACTGAATTTCAGCCTCGCTTTCCTTTTAATTTCTTTTCTTGTTTCTTTATGCTTTTTTAGTTTCGGCTCTGGCCGCAGGAACGCCCGTAAAGCCTTACATTAATTTCTACCAGCAACTCCGCTGACTTCTGAGCCCATTCCGGGAACACGGAGCCGGACCTGACGTGCGGCAGGTTTCGCGGAGCCGCTGCGACTTGCTGCGGTGCGTCTCCAATCGGGCGGACAGCGCTGTGGTCAGGTCGGGCCGTGCCCGAACGACCGTTAACGGCCGGCTCTCCGCCCACACGGCAGTGCCGAGCCCTGCATCACGTATCGTCTGCCCCCGGACCGGAGAGAGCCGAGCGCCCGAGGTACCGAGCGGCGAGCCGTGATTGATTGCGCCGCTCCGACCTGCCGCATTAATCCCCTCAGGGCTGATGTGCCGCCCGCCGTGCTATCCGCTGAGCTGAGCTGAGCTGAGCTGAGCTGAGCAGTGAGCACTCTCGGGCGAGGGTCAGGTCAGTTCACCAATACAAGTCGATGAATGCAGCGCGAGTTGACATACCAATTACCAGCCGTCTAGCAACCTTTCTGGTCTTTACGTAATTGCTCGACATCTCTATCATTTTGCTTGTAAATGAATATGTTTATACGTTCTTGTAATAATATGTTACTTTGGATGAGGTCAATTACAGCACGCTCATGTCCTCTTCAGCATTTCCAGCAATACCTAAACTTAAGTCATTTTTAACTGCGGGATGACAAATTAAAGCATCACCCGGCGCTGTCTGCCACATAATCTACCGAGTTAAATCCAGTGCATCGGGAAAGTAATGGTGAGGGCAATGTTTTCAAAACATTCGGCATCTGCCAAGCCAACTTTTTATGAGATAACAAGCTTCTGGAATCAAATTTGACAGATTTAGAAAGCTGACTGCATAATCCTCACTGCGAGCTCTACATATTTCGTTGTTTCTAGGACGAGCACAAGCACTAAAAATAATACGAGCAATGTAAAACATAGGCGTTAGGCAACGCTACGTAGGTTCATAGTGCAGGAATCGGTCACCAAGGGTGCTGCCTCACAAGCGGTCTTGACTGCACAAGCTCGGTATTTCACTAGGCCGTCTGATTCCTTCCAGTGCCGCTCAGCCATGTAATCCTGCATTCGGTATAAAGTATCGGTGGAGGGCAAAGTGCTGTCTCACGAGGGTTGCCTCGCTCCGCAAAAGTAAGCAGTCAGTCCACTCAATGGTATAATTACCCATTCCCATTCATTGACCTTTTGTCAAAGTAATGAGAGCAAACACATCAGGTATAAGTACGAGCCAGTTAAAAAAGAAATATTGCGCAATACACCTGAGGGTAATAGAAAACGTGCCCTGCAACCAACACCCAAGTCTTTGATGGTTTGTTTTTATTAGCTTATTAATCCTACGGCATCAGTTTTACCTTCTCTAGTTTCGTATCAGCAAAGATACTCGTCGCGGATGGCTGATGTAACGATTGAACGTTTCGCTGGGGATAGGATAGGATTGGTATCTTTTTCAGAGAGCCAGCTCCACAGCGCAGAAGGTGGTCATCTCTGCTCCTCAGACGTCGTTCAGACTGTCGTTCTTTGGTGACCTTGACCGCTGACATAGAACGTGGGCGGGAATCACTTCTCAGAAGTACGACGTAGTTTGTGACTGAAGGAACATTGAGGTTTATTTACATAAATTATTGTTCAAAGTTTCCGTGGGCACTTAGTCTTTGCTGCTTCGCTAGAAGAGGAGTTTGCTTCATTTTGTGTTAGTTCTTTCTATTGCCTTAGTCCCTGTGCATACCTATGCAGACCTATTTTTCCTTTTTAACGATAGGAAATCGAGATGCGGTGTCTCTCTACTTCGCCGATAGCTTATGAGCCGGTTGACAGTTCAGTTTTGTGTTACGGACATTTACAACAATTCTATTCCCAGTTCTCACCCACCCGCTTTCAACTCCCTTCATCCATCTGTGTAATAATGAAGCGTGTGTTCCACCACACGCCCCTCCCCCCCCCCCCGCCCACTCTGAGTGGCGAGGAATAGAACCACTATGACATTCACCCATATTGTGCAGGATGGTGCAATGCTCAAGGGACTAACAATTCAAACTTCACCGGAAACTATGTACAGACCCACACAATTCAGTGTCTGTGCGACGCCGTCTTTTCCAAAGCATAGAACAAAGACTTTCAACGCACCAAAATAAAACCGTCCGCTGCATTTCAAGTTCCTCGCGACCCTCAACGACGGTGAAATATGCACTCGTATGTAGACTAGCTGGAAAGGCTGTCGCTTAGTTTCAGCACCCTGTCGCCGAATCTGCCAAAGGAAAAACAAGCTTTCCGATTCTGGGAAAAGTTCATTATTCACACTTTAAGCCCGGCACGTAGGGGACTGAATTTGCTTTGCGACTAACCATGCACCTCACGCTACACGCTGAATACATACCAAATTTGACCTTGTCCGACCCTGCATAATAATGTGCCATCAAAAGAAGCTCGCAGCTGTCATAGTGAACCTGTACGCATCCGGAGCTCAGCGCAGCAACACCATCCATTTTGAGACGAGTGACTGCACTCAACAACTGGATGTTGTGTAACATTAATTAGATCTCAAAGTTCCTAGCGAGAGAAACTTTTCTATAACCTTATTTGCTCTTGTACCGAATATTTTTTCATACACTTCTTCTCACTAACCGGACCACTTGTTGCTGGACTAGTGAATGTTTATTTTGTTTCCAGAGCACCGGCTGCTGCTGGAGGCAGCGCTGGACGAAAACACCGCAGAGGAGACCACCGATGACGTCACCAATCGGCTACAGTTTGTTATGACGTCATCAGAGGAGGCAGTCGTCGACCTTCCACCACCGCTGTACCAGAGTTTGGAAGGTAGAGAAACAGTCATCAGTCGCCATATCAGACACAATTTATGTGTTTTAAATTGTTTATCCATGCGTGGAAAATTGACTTATCTGGACTCTAAAGATTTCGTCAAGGATGGCGAATAGTTGAACATGATTTAGTCGTATAACTTAATTCCGAACACGTTTTCGTTTGTCTTCGGTTCCTTCCTAGCTGAGTGGGTCCATCTTCCCTCTGTCCAGATCAGACCGAGCTGCTCAGCCCGCGCCTGTGGATGCTGCTGTGTGGAGGTGGCGGCGACGGGGAGCCGCTCGGCACCCCCGGCCGCTGCCACGCCGCCGGGTTCCACTGGGAGCTGAGCGCCGAGGAGCTGAGACACTTCCTCAGAGCCAGCACCCGCCCCGGATGGGTGAGAGCCACAGGTCACCCCAAGGCCCACCTTCAGACAGTTAGGTTTCCAGCAGGTTCAGAAATCAGTTCGGACTTTGAGTAGAAATCATTCCGGTTTGATTGTTCCGTCGTGAGAACAGATGTGGAAGTTAGCATGGCGCATTATGTATCCGCATTTACTCAATTGTATGACATTTTGTAGCCGACCGAGTCGGTTCCGTGTTAGCACGACTGAGCCCGTTGGTCGGCAGACACTGGTTACAGGCGGGTCACATGGCTTCCTAAGCGGGCAACATGACTGGCTGTCTGCTCTTCTGTTTAACAATATTGGCGCGGTGTCTGCCTGCCAGCCTACGCTCGCTAAACTTTTCAGAGAGGCCCTCACACCGCACCTACTGATCTTCACCTTTTTGGAAGGGCGCGGATGCAATATTTACGCGTCTTCAAAGGCAAAGGCAGCCGAGACACATGAAACAGTCTGGAGACACTGTCTATACGGTGCAAGTGACACCGTGACAAATAAAGTAGTTCCAGGAATCGCATAGCAAAAGTAAGAATATGATTTCCTTGACAAAGGGGTGAGACACGTGCTATCACACGGGGCAGTAATTATATACCGACGAATTGAAGCGTAGCGCATCAGCACGAGTGAACGGACATATGTGATCAATTATACTGCAGATACAGGAGTGAAGAACTCATAAATGTATAATGCGAACGGCTTTGTTGCCGATGTTAAAGGAAAAGTTCATTTTTATTGCGCATTTCCTCACTCATGTAGATGTAGACAACAAATGTAAAACTGTTTTATATCGGAGACCAGAATATCGTAGTGCTAAGTATCGGAGTCGCGTGTCATTCTCTCTCGAGCAACGTGAGGCTGCAGTTGATCACGACATCTCTCAACTAGAGCCTCAGCCTTTTCCATCCTCTCAGGGACGCCGTTCAACTGCGTGTTGGGCTCACCGGCAGGCCAGAGCCATCGCCAACCGGCGGCGTTAAATCCGGCTGCACCTGAGCCCGCGCTCACAGCTGCCGTCTCATACCGGCGGGATAGTGGCGGCGGCCCTGTCTCTCGCCCACACACAGGCCGAGAGGCGGCACCGGCCGGGGCTCGGAAATAGCCCAGAGAAATATGGCGCCCATAAGGTGTCCAGAACAGACGAGATTGGCACGACGCTGCGCCGGAGGTTGGAACTAGACCGAACTGTGTTATATAATGGCTAAGAAGAACACCGTGGGTTTAATTATTCCCAGAACGAAACATGCGTGTTATGTCTTGCATACCAATTCTATGAGCGTCGTACTTACCTTCCGCTTATGATGCTCTCAGGAAGTACCGCTTGATTTCAGTCACTTCCTGCTACTGATAGGTGAAGGCGGCCGGTGCCGTGTCGGCCCGTGAGCTGCCGTTCGACCTGCGGCGGACGCACGTGACACTGCTGCTGACCGACGTGACCAGCCTGGGCCGGGTGACCGCCGCCGCACCAGCACTCGGCACCCTGTTCCGCGGCTCAGTCGGATTCGTTATACTCGACCTGTGAGTAAACAATGAGCACGTATACCTGTATGTATCGAATGCAATACTTCATGTGTGGTTAAAAATTAGGCGTGCGCTAGAGGCTAAAAGATTATGCTGAAAAAATGCGATTTAGCTACATGGAAAAGAAACACAGCATTTGATTTTTAGTGGCAAAACTATACTTAACTTTACAATGAAATGTTTTATTTGCTGATAAATCGCCTCCTTTGACAGGGACAGCTGGCCGGCGGAATCACTAGCTGAGTTCGGCCTGGACAGGGAACACCTCTACCTTCCCTCATTGGCCTTCATTACCAGGGGAATGGTGAGTCACGCATTTATGGAGACGTTCATTGCCAACTGCCGAGACACCATACCATCTGCACTGTGCGTTATACCGCAATGCCAATTACGTTATGCTTTCTACACTGGGTGACCGAAGTTGACCATCACTCCATTTTCATGTACTACAGGAGACAGCGTCGGCCGTGCTGAACGAGTACGATGACGCCGTAGGATTCATCCAGAGCCAGTTGATCAAGTACCTGAAGCAGGTGGAGCGGCAGCAGCGCGCCGAGACCGAGTGGGACGACCTCCAGCTGCGCACGGACAACGTCCCCGGTCAGCAACAGCGTGCGCTCCCGGCGAAACGGTCCAATCACGCGCTCAGCAACAGTGCCGCTCCGACACAGTCCAGACTTACAGCATTACCCGGAGTTCTAGTGGTGTTAGCTATAGAAGAATTGAAAGCTCTCGTGACAAATTGAGACTCTGTAGCGCAATGTAGCGCAATAAGAATCTGTCAATTGAGTCAGGAGTCTGTCTACGTCAATTTTGATTGAAAGGATATTGGACTTGGTTTATTTTAGGCTGTCGTTCCTTCTTTGTTTGATAGCTGCGTCCCTGCGAAATCTCCGAACCCAGCTGCTCGAATCCCGATGGTGGCGTATCTGTGCATTTATTTCTCTTTATATGTGTCGCCGTAAGTTGAAAGAGGTTACCTCTGAAACAACATTGAAGCAGCGCACGTGCTCTTTATAGCTACACAAAAATGCACCCACTAGGTGCGCATATGCCAAGATACCTACACCACAGTTAAGTACTACTTCACTGGTATCGAAAATGCACCAACATCGCGCGACTTATATTGAGTTCCGTTATGTTTTTCAGCCGTGCTGAAGCAGGATGACGAATTGGAGCTCCTGCTAACTGACGAGGACGACTTTAGTCCGGTCCGGGAGATCGGAGATGAAGAGTTCAACACTCTCTCCCGCTCTGACGAGTTTGCCGTGCTGGTCGCCTACCTGCCCTGTGAGTGATTGCTACCGGTATAAAGATGATGTGAGATGTTGCAATCCGGCGCCGAATATTGCAGTAATAACTACGTAATAACTTACGCAATAACTGCAACGTAAGTACCAGCAACGGAAAGCGTTCGAACTTCGATGCAGTCGTTTTAAAACACTATACCATGATTATGACTTGAGGATAAAAAGGCATTTCAAATAAGGTTGACCACGTCACAAAATATTCGGAGTTTGAAATCACGTGATCCTGCTGCCCACGAGCGGTGTGAATGAGATATGGCTTTAGCCAATTAACGTGCATGCACTTTCCCGATCTCAAGTCATCTATATCGCCAAATCGTACTTTTGAAAACGAATATGGATATTGAGACAGAATGAAACATTCTAATTTCTTACATCAGAGACACAGCTTTTAGCAGATGATCACGCTGTAGTAGTTATCCAGAATTGGAGGATCAAAAGCATGCGATAGCATGCTTTTGCATCCGGAAATTCCCATTGGTGGGTCGCTGAAAAAAAGTTCGGCTGAACCTGTTTGTCAGTGAGTGAGTATGTGAGTATGTGAGTGAGTTTGTCCAAGCTTTTTTGGACCTGGAGTCAAAATGGGTGGACCGATCGGGACGAAAGTGGGACCGTTTGATTCGTCTCCGGCGAGGTAAACTTTTGGTGCTGGCCTCGGTTCGCTCGGTGCTTCGTGGCACATGCTATTCCGCTTCAAAGTTTCGGTGACACGAATTTTTTTGTCAAGGCTACAGGTCAACCCGAGGTCACGGGCAAAGCCATACTGGCGGGACACATCGGTAACACCTTGAACCAGTTTCCAGGGGGGTCACCGTCTGCGAGGGGTGCAGGCTGCACGTGCTGGGGTCGGAAAACCGTTTTGACGTGAGGTCCTCTGGCTCAAAGAAATTTTAAGCTATCAACCTCAAAATCGGTTCAATGGTAGTCCCAGGCAAGGCCTCCAAAATAATGCACATTTCATTGGGATCCTCCAATTCTGGCCCAAGGCAACGCACGAGCGCTGCCGGCATCTAGTAGTTACTGCTTGAGGATATTTTTGGCATGCCCTTCATCTAGCTAGTGTACCTACGCTGCTGGAAAAGCTCAAAGGAAAATGTACCCATAGTCTACCATGAAGTATTTTGTCTATTCTTACATTGATGTTTGCTATTTACTCCAGATCTAAAGAAGGAGGTGGTGTGCATTACGTTAACCCTCGCCCATGTAGGGGGGTTGGTGCAACCCCCCCCTGAGGTTTTTCGGAAATAGTGCAAAAACGGCGGCGCGCAGCGCCGCCAAATTTTGGGTACCTTATGGGGCAAACCTTGCGCATCTTTTGATAAAAAAAATTTGACCGGGTCATGTCAGGTCACGGAGTTATGACGTCACAAAGGGAACAGCCTCCGGCCGGATTTTCACAAACTGAGTGCCAACGCCCGAGGTTTCCTGCCGGTGCTACGGAGATCGGTTGATGGATCGTGATGAAACTTCCCATGCATGTTGGGGCAAGTATTGGCTATCATATGGTATAAGAAACTTGACCGGGTCAGGTCAGGTCACGGAGCTATGACGTCACAAGAGGAACAGCGTCCGGTACTATTTTTGAAAAGCGCCCGAACCACTATTTTGCTAATTCTTGTCACCTCAATGGGAATATGCAGCAATATTAGCTTCTATAGGGAGCAAATGGACCTCCCAAATCCAAAAATACAATCAGATTTCAAAAATTTAAATTTTGATTTTTCGAATTTCTGCCGCCGACTGTGACCTTGCCGACTTCCGGCGCTCCCAACGCGCCATTTTTAGAGCTAGGGAAACGAAATACATACCAAACGATAGAGAATTGATCAAGGAACACGATAAAGAAGGTTTCAAGTCGATATCTCCCACCGTTTTGCCGCAATCGCCGCCGAAAGTTGAAAAAAGTCTATTTTTCCGAAAATTTGACCTTTGACCGGTCAAAAGTAGGTCAAATGTTGACCTAGGACCAAAAAATATACCACCAATCGCGAGATCTTGGCGAGAGCAATCCTTTGGTCTTTTCCGCTAAGCTCTACGACGCTCCGTTTTCAAACGCCAAGGGGGGGTCGCACCAACCCCCCCCCCTGCATGGGCGAAGGTGGCAGATCGCCGTTTACGGGCGAGGGTTAATGCATTCAGCGAACTGCCTAAGCTGACTTTGTGGATGCAATCTGTGCAGCTACTTGAAGCACGCTCCTTTGTTGAGCCATGTTCCCTGACGACCATCGTTGCTCAGCTACTGACATCTATTCACGGCGAAATCAATTTTTGCTTATGTGATTGGTCCTTCGGAGGATAAGATTCTGATTGAACACTGACCTTTGGTGAGGAAATGTCGAGCAAATATAGTATATTTCTATGGAAACACACGTGGGGTGCAATTGTTTCCGTGCGATGCGCTTCAATCATTGCTACTTCCAATACAAATCCTGGGCACACTGCCGGTCATGCGTCCGCCGCATGGCCCCGGTCTTCTGGGGGACTTCCCATGGTTTTCTGCCCACCTCGCTCTACCCAAATGTGCGCTGTAAGCCGTCTCTGAGACCGCAGCGATGCGCGGTAGTGGCACACCTCAGGCATGTGACTCGGCCGCGTTCCTTGGAAAGCTGTCCCGGTGATGGCGCCACAGTCTGCAGTCAGCTGCATAACCAAATTGAATTCCGCCGTCAGACGTTCAGCGATGGCTGTCTGGCGACACGGTGCCCTGACACCCTGTCTGTCCTGCACTCGGTTCCCTGAATAGTGTCGTCTAAGACCCTGCGAATAACCCGAGTGGCGTATATGTACATGCGAGGTACTTTCATCTCAATTCAGCTGGCAGCTCAAAAAGGCTAGTGGATGGTCCCATCAGTGATTTCAATATTAAATTTTATGATATTTTATAATGGAAAGTCTTCGCTGCGTAAATGAAGCAAGGAAACTCTGCTGCTGGAATGTTTTTTCATCTCCTAGAAGGGGCTGCACTATGACCAAAGCGGTACGGCGGACATTACGGCATGCATGTTTTTTGTGCTGATTGATAGGTAGATGTTAGGGATATACAAGTCAAACCTGTAGAATATGAAAATGCCGCTATGATTCAGAAAAATGTAAAGCGATTTCGGACCTTCACTAAAAAAAAAATGTGTACCGCCCACCTAGCCAAATTCTTGTGTGCAGGAAATACTGGCATCAGCCATAAGCTTATCAACTCTAACGTAAACGGCATCGCTGAGAACATTAACTCCGTGAGACAGTTACGCCGCTTTCAATGACTGGCCCCCTTCCAGCGCCAACGGACTTTATTTCTTAAACGGAAAGTATATATGAATGTGAATGATCTGGAACCGGGTCTAATTGACCTTATCGATGTCATTCAGATCGATTTGCTTAATGGATAATCGACTTTCCCTATGGCTAATGTGTACTGAAAAATGTACGGGTCCCTCCCTTACGCATATCTTTCCCTTATCCCCACCCACCGCGTTATGCACATCGTCGTCATTTGTTACGCATATCGTCCCCCACCCACGGCGTTATGCACATCGTCGTCTATTTGTTGTGCATTTCGTCCCCTCCCACCGCTCGGCTCCTCGGCCGCAGGGGACCCGGTGAGTCGGTGTCTGCTCCGGAAACTGACCACCCTGCCGGCTGATCTACGCCGTCACCTGGGCCGTCTCAGCTGCCTCGACTGGTCGGAGCTCTGTGACCGGGTCGGGGTGCGCTCCCACCCTACTGTGCTGGTCCTGGCGGGAGGCCATCGGAGACGGGTCAATGGGAGTCTGACCGCGGCGGCGGTCACCAGGCTCCTCAGCAGGTCAGTCTGAGTCAGTCAGTCAGTCAGTTAGTCAGTCAGTCAGTCAGTCAGTCAGTCAGCCAGTCAGTCAGTCAGTCAGTCAGTCAGTCAGTCAGTCAGTCAGTCAGTCAGTCAGTCAGTCAGTCAGTCAGTCAGTCAGTCAGTCAGCCAGTCAGTCAGTCAGTCAATCTACAGGGTGTCCCATAAGTTCGTTCTCACATTATATTTGCATGTGAAACAGAGTACATTGCGTTTTGATATATTTATGACCCCTCATTGTGCTCCCCAGTTAATAGGCAAACACATGAATACATGCTGCGGCATGCCAACTGGCAGGTTTGGCTGCTTAGCAGGCTTGAAGTTAGCCCAGACTGAATTGACGTGCGCCGTGAGCTCCTCGAGGCTGGAACAGCGCTTCGCTTCGACGAGCCTCAAGTTCAGTATAACCAACGAATTTTTATGAAATTTTGATCCGATGAGTTGCCTGGCATGTGATCTTGCCACAAACGCCTGTCACAGTCACCTTGCACTGCTTTTAAGCTTTGCTTGACCTGTGCACTGATGCACTGTCTTGCCTGAAGCTGGGCCTACGACCTTCCGGATGCCATTTTCTCCTCTATAAATGTGTTCATACTCGCGGTTCGAGCTCAGCTTGAAGGCTGAAACTCCTCCTAGATGTTCTTGGGAAAGCATTCTGCTTCCCAAAACTGTTTCTGGAGTACCAATCGGAACCTGGTCAGCGTCTGGACGCCTATAACCTCACAATACCGTGACCCTGGCCTTTTGCATATGAACATAACGGGACGGAACGGAGGCCTCCTCCTTCGCCCTTATGGGGTTGTTTTCGGGTTTGGACGGGTGTTTCATCTCGAACGTGGACTTGTTAGTCCAGATGACCTGATTGATGTCCTCAGCCCTCTAGTTTTTTAGCCTCAGGCATAACGAAACTCATGTTTGGCCATTTTAAGACGTTTTTGACTGTTTTAAGCCCTCCGGTAAGCAAAGCTTAAGTACCCTTGAGTTATGTACCCCGAAAGAATACTCTTAGACAGCTGGTAATCCATCCTGAAAAGTCTGCTTACCAACTTTCTAGCCCTTTGACCTTTTTGATGGCCACTTTGGCGCCACACAGTTTTGGCCACATGGCTCACTCCTGAGGGCTGACTGGAAAGAGAATAAACTTGCAGTGATTGACTCCCGACAAATCATCGGCGCCACTTGCTGACTGTGCGTCCAGTTAGCGATGGACATTGGCTACAGACTGGTAGGCCTCAATCACCCTCAATCGTGGAGAATGGTCACGTGCTGACTAAATACCGAGACGTACCCGTATCGGAGACCTTAATGTTGCGGCGTTAGCCGTCTCTGTAGGAAGCGGGCTCTCTAGCAAAAACGATTTTGTCTACAGAAATTAGTTACTGTGGAGCATATTGCTACCAGCCATGGCAACCACGTAAGATCAGTTACGAACCAATTTTAGCGTGCCTTTAAGCAAGAGAGCCTATAAACGTAAAATTTAGGTGAGAACGAACTTATGGGACACCCTGTATGCATGTTTTTCCAGTCTGGCAGCTTGAGAGTCTGTCAGTCCTTCAGGAGCACGGAGAAGGGCAGATTTTTCAACAAAAAGAGACAGCTTACGAAGAAACCGTTTTCACTTTTCGCTATGCTTGAGTTTATTAATGACGCATAATCATGATAAGAACGATGTGTAACAACGAGAGGAAATTTGTTTTGGAGTTCTCTCATATCTTCTCTCAGTTCGGAGACATAGTGCCAGTGTTGTTCACACCATTGTTTGTTTCGGCAGCGGCGCGGCGCCGGTGCCTCTGCCGGTCAGCAGCGCCACTCTGGAACGCTGGATGGACGGCCAACTCACCGGGTCACCGCTAGATGGCACTGATGGCGTGCTGCTGATAGCCGCCAGCCAGCACCCTCCCTCCGCTCTCACAGGCCCGCTGAGGGGGGAGGCGCTGCTAGCCCAGGTGGAGGGCTCGGTAATGCAGGATATGTGAGTATGACACTTATAAACAGCAGCTCAAGCCTCGTTGGGCTCATTTCATCTACCAGCTTTTTTGCTTTATATCATTGATGGATTAATTTCATTTTGATTTTGTTTCATTTTGCTTTATTTTATTCTTTTCTTATTGTTTGCTTGCTGGCAAAACTGATATAACTAGTTCATCACTTCGGTCATCAGATGCCTGGCATTCATAGATCCATTCATGACTACTGGACGGCTATTTCCACATCAAAGGGAAGGATAGGATCATATGCAGTTGGACTGAATGATAAAGTGTACAAACGTCGCGAAAATGTTCGTATATTTTTGGCGTTCCAGGTTCGGTAAGTCTTCACCACTCTGCATCAAAAGGAACGACCCGTTCCAGACAAAACTGGAAATAGACCTAGAAAAACTGGAGCTAGCCATCGCTCACTGCGTGCCCGTCATGGTGAGCAATACTTTGTTCTAATTGGTTGCGTACTGTGCCGCAAAATCGTTTTGAATTATCGTGTTAGTCGGTAACTGTATTATCGTTTCTAAAATAAAATGAGATGGAATAGCTTCAGCCAAGATTTAGTGTAAAAACTAATAAAGTCAACTGGAAACGATGCATAGATGAAACGAGCTGAAAGTTGTGCAATGTGTATAACAGGTTTACTGGAACTTTCTAAACCAGGATGATGTGCAGAAATCAATTGCCTCTCACCCTCTTCCCCTTCTCCCTCTCTTTTCCTCTCCCCCTCTGCCTCTCCACAGCCGGAACTGGACGAGGAGACCCTCCACCTGTTGCCGCCGTCGCGGTGGACGTTCCTGCTCTTCTGTAGTGACGGCAGCTGCCCGGTTACGACTGTCGAGGACCGTCTGACAGAGGCAGTCGGACAGCTGGCTCTGACAGTACCCCACTGCTTCTGGATCAGCAGGTGGGAGGGGGCGCTACGTGTAGAGGGATTCTGGTGGGAACCTAATGGGTCTAGTCAGACACAGATCAATACGGTAGTTGTCTGGACAATACGACGCTGTGGCTTAGAAGCTTGATTGTAAACTTCAATGTTTCATGATGTAAAGATGCCCCTAAAGATTGGGCGGTGCACAATCTCATTGTCGATGGTGTGTATTCAAAACCACTCAGTGACAAGACAGGCGGTTGAAATTGTTTGCTTCCGAATAGGACCCATCCATGATCCAATGGTGGGCCATGTTTGAAATTCCACGAATTACTAAGGTCTGACTATCAATGCAAGCCTACACAATCTCTTACAGCATCTATTCAACCACCCTCAGCGCTGGATCGGTGGCGTCACCTACGCTTACCCTCTCTAACCAGCACATGTCCTTTTTCCCGCCAGCTCCAGCCCCGTAGGCCGGCAAGCCCGACAGCAGTACCAGCTGACCTCATCCAGGGCGCTGGTGGCCGTGAACCTGACCTCGGGTCAAGTGGTGAAGTATACCGGCCCGGGCAGCGCCAAGCCGGTCCTGCACTGGGCGGATCGGGTCCTCAGTGGCCACATCACCGGAGAAGGTGGGTAGATTGGCCGTCCGTTGGCTTGATGTCTCCTGTGTTTTGCTTACTTATTTCTTTATACGCCATAAATACTGAACCAATAAGTTTTGTAAACTTACTGGTTCCTCTTTGTTTTCTGTCACCTCGATTGTCTTACATTATCTATTTTTGGCATGGATGACAGGTATTTTTGACACAGCTGTCGAAAAAAAAAAACATATATAGTATTCACAGTCCACACCATGAATGTTTCTAGATGTGTGGCGCATGTGCTCAGAAAACGGTGTCGTTCCAGTGCTGTTGAAGTCGGAGCCGTGGTTGCCGGTGCTGCCACCTATCGACTTTTCGTCCTCCAGACGGACTGAGACTGTCCCCACCGCCGAGGCGGACACGCTGGATATCATGGACGAATTTCAGGGCGCCGCAGATGGTAAGAGCACCACGCACGGTACTCACGCAGGATTGCTTGTCGTCGATAGGTTTTAATACAAAATGGCAGTTTCTAATGAAGTTACGTTCAATGTTAGTGAATGGAAATTAAATCCGGAATAAGTAAACCCATCGACTCCTGTGTCTTGCAATTATTTTAAGGAGCTCTTGAAGTACGTAGGTGTGCAGCTCAAATCAGCAGAGAATGCATATATAGAGCAGAGTGATGGTCACTTGATAAGTCTATGTCTGTCAGCCCCTATTACTACTTTATGTGCAAGAAGTGAGAACGATATTCATATTTCCTGGCTTTAACACCAGTAATGTTTTTTTCAGGTCCACAAACTCAGCGAGATGAATTATAACCCTGCTGATTCTGAATCGCTGCAAGCACAACATAATTAGAGTATCGTAATGTTGCAATTGTAAGCGATATATCGTCTATATACTATATACGTCAATTATATATACGTCTATATACGTCTATATACGTCAATTATATATACAATATCTATATACGTCAATTTCGTTGGTCTTTGCGTCATCCTTTCAGACAATGATGACGAAATGAACGTTGTGAATTTAACCGCATTGTAACGTGCCAGTTAGGTGCTTACAATGCATATCTCATGCTCCTGTATATTTATGTCTTTATTTATGCTAATGATCGCTCAAAAACAAATGCTGAAAAGTCTGCTTAGGTAAGAGCATCCGTGTTTCAGTGCGTTTGCGTTTCACTCTGAGCTGCATCTTTGTGCTTCATTGCCACGATGTCAGTGCAGCCGACAGTGGCCCCTGCTGCCGTGTCTGTGTACCCGAGCTTATGTCTTCCAAGTGCGTCGCTGTATTTTTCCAATGTCTGAATACACACTGGAGAAACCGGGACTTGTTAGTTTGATCTTGGTTTGATCCAGAAGGGCGTTCACTACCTTACTATCTTCGGCACAGGGAAGATGCATGATCGGAACTCGGGAGAAGTGTTTTGTAATTTTGCCAAATAAGATTGCCGCAAAAGTATCCCGTTCCCTGAACTAGTGACTATTATCTATTGAGCTGTTGATTGCCCCACGCCACAGGCCAATTAAGCAGTTAAAACATAACAATAGGTGACGGTGAATCGGAGACGTTAGTATGTGTCCCAGATTATAACTTCGTATTCTAACAAACTCCAGTTTTGGCACGCTAGCTGTCTCATCCTCTTTATCACGTGACAAGCGGCGCTCGTGGGCCAGCTGTCCGTTCCCTGGATGTGCCTGGAATCCCATTAGTCACGTGTCAGTGCGGTGGCGTCCCCTGGCGGTGGGGGCGCACCTAGCCGGCCGTGCCCCAGTTGTCTTTGGGCGTCCGTCGGGCGGGTGGCGGCCTACAGTCGCCCAGCAATCGGATCGATTTGTGCCGGTTACTGGCGGTTACCGGGTGTGCCGCGGTGCCCGTCGCTGCCGTTACGACCCGGGCCAACCAACCAGTGACGTCAGACAGGTAACGATCGCGCCGTGCCGCTCTGGCGTCGTCCGTTGGACCCGGTGGTCGACAGGTATGTGGTAAACAGAGAATGGCGTTCTGCCGCCCGCCGACGCTGACAGGTCGAGGGGAGTAGTGAGGTCGTGGCTGCCGGGCGCTGCCTTTTGATAATGCTCCTTTGTTCTCTGTGTGTATGTGTGTGTGTGTTTGTGTGAGTGTGTTTGTGGCAGTGACTGCCGCGCGTACGCGATTTATTACATGCGTATAATCAAAAGTTAATTTCGCTGTGAACTGTACTTGCATTTGTTTGGGGACTTGTTTGCAGCAGTTGAAGCAAAAGAACTAAAGAAGTGTTCTTTTACTTTTGAGTAAAGTAGCGCTCTATTCACAATGCATTATCATGAGGAAAGCTCTCGCGTAATTAACCGGATTGCCTGCAATATCGATGCGAATGCGGTGAAATGCAATCCTTCCCAAAAATGTTATAAAGATCCGGTACCTACGCGTAGAACGGGCTTCCGGCACGCAATGTATGACAAACGCCACTAACAAACCTCCAATTCATGCTATGTTTTTGCACGACGGCTATAGATACAGAAATAGCAGGCACGTCGACGGCGAAGGGTTCGGGCCCTCCGCCACCCGAATGCCTGGAATGTAGACTGTACCGCAGCACAGGCGTGCGTTGCGGGACAGTCTAACGTCCCAGCTGCTGCCGCGCCTCGCTTTGGCCATGTGGTGCCGCGCCGAGGAAGTGTATTTTATCAGCTCGTGAGTCGTGATGCCGTTTTTCCACAGGACAGTGAGCGATGGCAACTGTCTCCCGACGAACAAGTGGCATTCCCCAGCCTGTGGCGTCACGAGGACCCAGTCGACTAAGCGCTAAACAGGTGAGACTAAAGGGCTCACAACGAATTACGCGTGCTCTTCAGTTGTGACATTACTGTAATGGTTCTGCAAGGACGAAACACAAAAAATGCAGGATGTTTGTGATATGATACCAAGCTACGCGTAATGTCGGCTGTCTTATTTTAGGAATGAAGTAATTGCATACAGTTACAGCTACACAATGTATGATGGTTATACAGTCCAAACGATAAACTGCATGGAAATATGTCAACGAAAGTATGTATTTTATGGTAATTTTGAAGCATTGATCACATGATTAATATCATCGCCATTTTTCATTAGATGTCAGTAACCTTCCATCGCTAACCACCGATCCCGTCACCACATGACCTAATCTCATCCATCAGCCGGTCTGATCAGCCGTGTAATACCACGGCCTTGGTCGGCCCGCCTCTATTGACCGCGTCGGGTGTGCACTCGTCCAGCAATTACTGCCGTCACATGCCTGTGCCAGCGCTACCAGGCACGAAAATGACCGTATAGCTGTGCGCCGCGTGACTAGGCCCATGGTCGTGCCGCGGCACGTGTCCTTGCTGACTGGACACGTGTGCTTGATTCTCTGATGAAGGCAAGGTGTGCTTTCTTGAGGAGAGATTATCTGTTGCTTTCGACGACATCATATTTCTGAGATTGAACTCATCAACAAACATTGCAAAGTGATTCCAACTAATCTTAGAATTAAAAAACAGCACGACCAATAAACAAAAGCTGAATCGTCGTGTTTCTGTGTCTCCAGACGTGGGCTAGCTACCGTTTTACTATCCACTCGCGAATCCGAAATCACCTTATCGCGTGATAGCGAACTCCTCACCATAGGGAACCGATCCAATTATAGCTATTGGAAGCTGTTGTCAGCTTGAATACACCATTTACAGAGTGATAAGTTTGCAACACGCATCTTCCGTAAAAATGTGGATGAGCACAATTCAAGCGACAGAATGCATACCGTCTGTGGCCTTTCGCTACATAGCGGCGGACGGCGGTGATCGAGCGTTAATTGTTATCGACCAGGCGCCCACTGCAGGCTGCAAGCAAATGCCTACCGACCTTCTATTGATCAGAATATGCCAGTCCTCGTCCTTGTTGCATTTCGAACGTGGTTCGGGCCTTTTTTCTACTACAAGCGGTTTATACATTTAAACGAAAACGTTTATTTGGATGTTTTAAGGGAAAAATAACTTTACGATGGCGATGTGTGTGCCAGAGCCAAATTGTTCAAGGACCCACATCCTCGAATTTAATTTTTGGTGCATTCATGCTGCCAGTATTTGAACATTTTTGTGAGCGATACCCGCGCAACAATATTCACATCGATGATTGTAGCTGTCGATAATTATAATCTCCAATATTTTGTGAAAGTCGACGAAAGGCTGCCGACGGTCAGCACTGGGCTGCTTAGATCTTTAAAGATATCCACATGGTCTTCATCTTTTCGAAAAAAGTGAACTGCAAAGGGCAGTAAGGTTAACAAAACTCCCCCAAAACAAGTAAATCACAAATCAGCTTCAAATTGGACGGAATGCACATCAATCGAAAAAAAAATATATTTTGAATTCCAACACACCTCCTTACAACACCTATCAGTGTATCATCTCATCTCCCCTCACACCCCTGCGCGTCTCCCCCGGCACCCCTGACCCGGTTGTCTGGCCCGGTGCGTCATCGATTGCGTACCCCGCCAACTGACCGGTCGCCGCGCCGACCGCGACTCGCCAGTGCCACGGCGAGTCGGTGTCGATACGTCGCCCAGGGCAGCAGTGCGCGGTGCTTGGGTCAGTCGCCGGCCAGTACCGACCGAGAGGAGTGGAGACGAGTGCCGGTGGTGTGTTTGGTGTAGTGAGGGGATTTGGAGGAAGTGGGAGAGAGAAATTCAGGTGAGCGAGCGGTTGATGGCGACCGGCCTTGATCGCGCGGTGAGAAAGTGGCAAGAAGGTCACATTAGCACTTTGCACACTAGCATAACAATCATGCATACTAATCGCTAAAGCACTCATAGAAATTACTTCGAGTACTCGCGAGAGAAATAGACCACAAAGGCGACCACCAGGCCGACAGGACAGATCACGAGTGAATACTGTCAAAGCTGCTGTCTGAAATGCCCCTACCAACTAACACAGAAACAGTCAATGCAAAGTTCTTTCCAAAGTCCAAGCATGTAATATTTTAAAAACCCTCATATTAGTAAACACACATCTAAAGCTTGCCTGCATTGTAGCTAACAATAAGAAATTAGTCCAATTCCAAGTTCAATCCCTGTGCGTATGTAGAAGCTCGGCTGACAGTTGGCGGCTGTTATCAGCTGCGCTCCATTGTAAATTTAAGACGTAAATTGTACTTACGCTGATTTATAAGAAGCTCTTGCCCAGTAAAAGCGCCCCTGATGACTGTCGCCCCTGATGACGATCTAGTTACCTTTGTGCCCGAGTGACCTCACTTGAAGCTGTCTTATTCATTTGAATCACCACGTTGTTCGTGATGGCACACTTTCATCCAAAGCACGCTCTTGAACCGGTCCAGAACACAGAGAGCCATAACATTCAAAATTCGAGTGAAACGCTTCTTGGACATCAAACTTATCCATTTGCCCACATACCTACTGTGTGAACCTGGTTATAGGTACGATTTTGGACACCCTTTACTGTTGTTACTCTTATTGCTGCTTGTTTTTTATTTATATACACTGTGTTTTTTCTTTGCTCGTTCAGCCCTTTCTGGTCGATTAACTTAGACCCTTTCAGGCTTAAGGGGTGATAGGATAATGATAAGCCCTTGGGCTGCGTCTTCCAACTAGTGGGCCTCAACGACTCAGCCCGGTCTTGAACGAATCATGTCCCTGTGAGACAGGTCGCAAAGCATGTTCAGAAGTCACCCCGGAAGGACTGTGAGAACAATCCCGCCTGCTGTTCTAGTAAGAATTCTGTAACTGCCCTGTTTTCTGCGCCGGACGCTTGGATGGATGACCGGCAGCCCCCCTAAAAAAGAAGAGCAATGATACTGGCGCAGTTAGTGTCTAGTATCCTGAGAATAGGATGCCTGATAATAATGTAACGTTCTCTTCCCTGCATCTGTTTTGATTTAACCCGCGCCGGGCTGGGGGGGGGGGTGTTTGAACACCCTCCTGCGGTGTTTCGCAGATATCTCAAAAACGGCGGCGCGTTTTTGGCACACCTGTTCGTGCATCTTTTCCGCACATGTTGTGTAAATTTCAGATCCAGGTCACCTTAGGTCAGGTCACCAGGTCACGCCAGGTGACCTCACCTCAGAAAAAATAAGAATGCTCGTCATAGCTACACCGATTGATCGATTGCCTTGAAACTTTCAGCGATTGATAAGAGCAACATTATCTATGAAATTGATATCCCGGAATTTTGATATCGGTGACCTAAGGTCAGGTCAATTTTGCGACCTCTCCATTATAAGTCAATGGGAGAAAATTGAAAAGCGTCTGTTTTGCACGAACGCTATATTCTAGACACTCTCAAACATCGAGATGTAGGTAAAATGGACACACTGAA